TGATGGTTAAATTAACCAACATATGGTATAAAGTGAGCAAATTTATTTAGGTTATTTGATGACTATTTTTTGGTAGAAAATTTAAAATTTGTTGAAAAATTAATTAATATACAGTGTACTTTTTTCTGTAATATATTAGTTTTTAGGCGTGAGTTTCAATTTTTATTTTAATTTTTCGTATAATTTTTTGTATAATTAGTGGGTCTCGATTTAATTCATTTTTTGTTACGACATTTCAAATAATTTTTGAGCGAAATGCACTGTACATATTTTTTAGCATGATAAAGAGTGTCGATCTTTTTGGCATAAAAAATCTTATGACTGATTGTTGTTGCTCAACTATTTAAAATTTTTTATTTGGATATCTATACAAAAATAAATTTATTTTAATTAATGAATCAAAATAAGTTATATATATATATTTATTATTCACATAGGTTTTTAAATATATGATAAAATTTTACGAAAATAATTTTTTTATGGAATCACGTTATAGTCAAATCGAATTTCTGAATAAATTTTTTTAAACAACACATTTTGAAACGAATATAATGTAATTTATTATTAGTTATGTACAACACACGGGTTATGCACTAATTTTAATAGACATTTTTCTGTAGTTTTGCACAATTTAAATTTTATATAACATTTTTAATAAATTAATGTAGGTACATTGCATTACATATTGATTCCATGTTTTTCATTTATAAATATTATTTAATGAGAATTTTTAATTTATAAATATTAATGAATATCTCTTACCCGTGCATCGCACGGGATTTGTACTAGTAGTCCATTTAACGATTTTAATTGGAAAATGCTAGTATCCTTTGTATATTTATTATTGAATGAATATACACGTAAACCCACTACATATCACCGCTAAGGGAATAGAAGTAGATACAAGCAAGGTATAAGAGGTGAGTAATTGGGAAGTCCCGAAGAATGCGAGTGAGATCCGCAGTTTCTTGGGGCTAGCCGATTATTATCGGAGGTTTATAGAGGGCTTCTCGAAGATAGCCTGATCACTGACTCAAATGACGAAGAAGGTGGCTAAGTTTGTGTGGAGTTCCCAATGCGAGACCAGTTTCTTGGAGTTGAAGAAGAGACTGACTTCTGCACCTGTGTTAGCCATATCTGATCCTACTTTGAAATTCAACATTTATAGTGATGTTTCGAAGCAGTGATTAGGTTGTGTGTTAATGCAGCATGGCAAGGTTGTAGCCTATGCGTCGAGGCAATTGAAGCCACATGAGATGCATTATTCGACGCACAACTTGGAGTTAGTAGTTGTGGCTCATGCACTTAAGATTTGTAGGCATTACCTCTACGGGGGTAAATGTGAGATCTTTACGGACCATAAGAGATTGAAATATTTGTTCACGTAGAAGGAGCTGAACATGAGGCAACGAAGATGCTGGAACTCGTCAAGGACTATGATTGCACGATTAGTTACTATCCTGGAAAAGCTAACGTGGTAGTTTTAATTAACAATTGGCCTAATTTTTTTTTATTATTTTGAAAAATAGACTAGGTTGGAGCTCACCCAGAATCTGGGATGACTATGGCCGAGAGGGAAGGTGAGAGGTGAGGTTGATTTAAAGCAACACATTAAAGAATATAAACAGCACATAAAATAAAATAAAAGAAAGAAAGAAAAAACTTCTCATTAGATTGATAAAAGATATCGAAATTGTTTAGAAGCACAATTGAGTCTGATGCATTATGTACAATAAAATAGTAGTGTTCTTGTACGTGCAAGGTACAAGTTCCATTCTAATCAAAGTTTATACGATAAAAAAAAAAAAAAAAAAAAAAAAAAAAAAAAAAAATCTCTCTCTAAAATTTCCATTTTTATTTGGGCTTGAGTCTGGTCTGCCCCCCCAATCTGCATAGCCTTTCGTGTTTGATCGAATTTTATAGGTTATTGGAGCTCTAGATATGATGGTCTTATTTTATACTCCCTCCTTTTTTTAATAGATGTCGTTTTGAGAAGTTGCACACTAATTAAGAATATTTTTTTTGCCAATAATAACCCTCATTAATGAGGATAGAGATGGATGTTTTGAAAAAATATAAAGAGTGAATATGAAAAGACGTAGTGTATTTATTAGCTAGATAAGGGTAATAATGGAAAAATATGTACAAAAGATCCAAAACGTCATTTATTTAGACAATTGTTGATAAAGCCAAAATGACATTTATAAAAAAAAGGAGGTAGTATTTGGATTTGAGAACTGGTGTATGTGTAATGTGTTTGGAAGCAATTTATTATATTTTATATTAGTTAAGTGTAATCATATTTATTATGTTATAAATAATATAAAATATAACCACATCTTTCCAATAATATAAAATATAACCATTAGATTATCTATCTTATACTAACTACATGTGTATCTAACGGTTAAAAACTTCCGACGGGATAGTTCCGTAACGGGACCGTAGCATTTCCCTTCAATTTTAATCCATATACAATGCTTCAAAGTAGGAATTTTTCCCCCAATTATCTATATATATATAATTGCTGGCAAACTTCAATAAATTTTATTTAGCCAGCAATCTATACTTATATTAAAAGGTATCCCATTTACTAGATTTAGTATAAAGAAAAATCAAAGGTAATTAATGTTTGCTGGAAGTAGAATGATATTAATTACAGATTTGTTTGGTATTTATAGCTTGACATTAAAGATTTGTTATGGGATAAAAATCAGAACCGATTTTTTTACTTTTGCTGGAAAAGTCAAATGTAAGTATAGATTTGTTTTATTCAATAACATCGGTTTAGTTAAAATAATCTCATAAAATCGATTTTAATGTCAAGCCTATAAATAATAGTTTAATCGATTTTAATAAAGAAGATTTAATCGGTTTTAATAATTGCATAGAATTTCAAAGCTGTTATTTATTGTAAAAGAATTAAATTCTAAAAAAACATTTGTGTATATTTTGTAAAATGTTTGTACAAAATGTTTTACTTTAAATTTATTTACATAATTTAAATTAATTACATTAATAAATAATATGAACATACATTAAATATTTTAATTACATAAAACAAAAAGAAGAAGAAGATTACATCTATAACTTATAATAATAATGACATTATACTACAATAAATTTTATAATGAAATAATATAAGTATTATACGAGGAATAAGATTACGTAAAATTGTTATTTTTCTTATATCAATGAATAAATATATATAATGAAATCAAATTTATATTATTATAAACATGTGAGCGAGATAACATATTAATTAATCTACGGGCTAGCGCTACCAGACTCAGGTTTAATGTTCCGACAAAAAAAATGACGTTGATGAAAAGATGTAAAAAGATGGATGATCAAACTATATTATTTTTTAGGCCTGAACGGACAAGCCCTATGGTCCACTCATTTAATATCTCCCGTGAATCGCACGAGCTACTTAACGGACAAGTTCTGTGGAAATAACTCATTAATACTTATGTCTCGTGCATCGCACGGGCTACGTGGTAGTTAATAATAATATGAGTTCATTTAATAAAAATATGTTCGCCATTTAATAAAAATTGTAACTTTCAGTTACACATTTATTTTAACAGGTCTCATTTTAGAATGTGCCCATTTCTGTAACGCATTTTTATGTCTTGAAATACAAAATATTTTTGTTTTTATTTTGGTACTATATATTTTTTGATATTATATAAATACATATTTCACAACTGATTAAGAATGAGTATAAATATCTCTATTTTCTATTGTAGTCATACAATAATAAAAAAATATTTTTTCGAATATTACAAAGGTACATCAAATATTTTGAAAAATCAAATCCCAAAGTCACGGAGTTCAACGAGTTTAACGATAATGATTTATTGTAATAGAGATTCTGACGATAGGAAAACCACGAATATTGTATATAAAAAAGTGTTTACTAATATTTTAGATTCACTTTTTTAATTTTTTTTCTCATTTATTAAGTTATGAATTTTATTTTATTCTATATTTTTAATTACTTTATCTTCTATTATATCGCTTTTTGTGCAAATTTATATCCCTCCTATGTATTAATTCAGAACATGCTGAGCCTAAGTGGCAGGCTCGCATGCTTCGGGATCCTATGTGGCAAAATTACATGCTTCTTTATTAGACTTGAGTAGATTTTAATTTATTTTTAATCCAAAAATAATTAGGTTCGGACTATCCATAAATACGTTGGTTATTTATGGTCATGTTACATATATTAATTACATCTTAATATCATTTCTTATTATAACTATTGATTGTAAATATATTTTACAAGTTAATAACTTTTGTATTTTTTATCAGTTTTACATAATAATATATCAAATTAATCATCTCTTGACGAGCTTCGATTTAACATCCAAATTATATGTATAAAAATAAATTATATTTATCCTTATAACAATAATAATTTTTTTTAATATTAATTAGAAAGATAGAATTATTTGTCAATTAATATATTTATATTTCAAGTAGTTATATGATATAAGTCATAAAAATTACTATAATATAACACATTTAAATCGCACATAACAAATGTCATTCTAAAATATATAATAATATATATTTTTTGTAAAAAGATAAATAAAATTTAAAATAATTTTCTCATTAATTTTAAAATTTAAGAATAATTTTTTAACAAGTACCCGTGTAATACACAGGTGTTGTACTAGTTTATATTTATGGAGAATGCTACCATCCCGTTATGCGATGGTTCCGTTGTGTTTTCTAACCATAGATGTAAATATAATCTAGTGATGGGTAGTTAATCCAACGGTTAAAAACACAATGGAACCATCCCGTAACGGGATGGTAGCATTCCTCTATATTTATTCTCCAAATAACAAGATTTCTTTCATGCTCAAGTACACGTGTCCAGATCACACCCGGGTAACATCGTAAAATTAGAGCGCTCGTTGCATATGATCCTAGCCAAAGGCATGGATAATCCACGAACCGGACCCCACGTGGCGAAATAACCCCACACAGCAAAAACCGACCTTTCTATATAAACACTCCACACTACCTCATAAGCTCCAAATTATAAGGGATTAAAAAAAAAAATCTATCCATTAACACTCGTAGAGTAATATCTCGCCGGCGACAATCCTGACTTGCCGGAAAATGAAAATTCCGATCAATTGTTCCGATTCTTCTCCCCGCACGTTCAAAACTCGAATCTCCATCTTCCATCGTCGCGGAGAATCATAGCACCTTATCTTCGATTTATTCTTCCGTACCTGTTGTGATGCTCTTTGTAGGTTTTAGGGAGTCTGATAGTGACGGATGCTGTGAAATTGAGCAAATTTGCTGTGAAAATGGCGTTTGGAGTTGAGAATTTTCCATTTAGCTACTTTTTTCAGCTCGTAGGCACGGAGAATTTTGAAGTGATTGTTGGTGAAATTTTGATGAATTTGTTCTGAATCCTTTTTTTTTTCAATTCGTAAATCCGAAACAAAATGCCTTTTCCAATGAGAATCCAGCCGATCGAGGTCATCCGCAACGACGCCGTCAAACCGCCGGTGCTGAGGTCGCGGCTGAAGCGACTTTTCGACCGCCCGTTCACCAGCGTTCTGAAGATCTCGTCGGCCGACAAGCAGGCCGGCGGAGGCGAGAAGGACGGCGGCGGTGCGGCCGATTTCGAGCCGAGCTCCGTTTGTTTGGACAAATTGGTGCAGAGCTTCATCGAGGACAGCAATGAGAAGCAGTCCTCCGCAGCCTCCGCGAAGTACGGCCGGCACCGCTGCAACTGCTTCAACGGCAACAGCAACGACAGCTCCGACGACGATGACGACGAGCTCGGCTTCTTCTCCGACTCGTTAACAGCAAATTCCTCCGTCATCGACCCTTCCGATACTCTCAAGGTAACCAAAATTCCCCAATTTTTCCCTCTTTCTTCATTTCTCTCTCTAAAATCAACTGTTCTTCAATCCCGTCTTTTCTCCGTCTGTACAGAGCTTGATACCCTGCGCTAGCGTTGCGGAGAGGAATCTGTTGGCCGACACTTCCAAAATCGTCGAGAGCAACAACAGAGCCTGCAAAAAGAAAGGCGATCTGCGAAAAATCGTCGCCGACGGCCTGATTGCCCTCGGATACGACGCCGCTGTCTGCAAATCCAAATGGGAAAAATCAACCTCCATCCCTGCCGGTAAATCACTCCTCAACCACCACCTCAATGTATGCGTACGTTTTTGCGTCTAGGTTCCTTTCTAGAGTATCGTGCTGATTGTTCAATTCTGCTTGAGAGCAGGCGAATACGAGTACATAGATGTGATTGTAAAAGGGGAGAGGATAATAATCGACGTTGATTTCCGATCAGAGTTCGAGATCGCGCGGTCGACGAGCGGCTACAGGACGGTCCTGCATTGCCTGCCGTCGATTTTCGTCGGAAAATCCGATCGCCTCCTGCAAATTCTGATCATCGCGTCGGAAGCCGCCACGCAGAGCCTGAGGAAGAAAGGGATGCACATAGCGCCCTGGCGCAAGGCGGAATACACCAAATCAAAGTGGCTCAGCCCCCACACGCGCGCGCCCGAGCCGAGGTTGAGCGGTGGCGCCGTCGATGTGCCGGCCGGAGAGCAGTCAGAGGCGGTGGTTGTGGAAGCCACGGCGAGCGAGTGCGGGGAGCTGGATCTGATTTTCGGGGAGGGGACGACCTCGTCGTCGGAGTGTGGTGCGGAGGAGCTCGAATCGCCGGCGAGGGTCACCGGAGAGGCTACGGCAGCGACGGCTTGGANTACTTTTTTTCTGCTTTTTCTCTCTTTTTGTTTTTACTTTTCTTTTTTTACTATTTTAGCTTCTTGTTCACCCCTTGTGCCCTCGTGGAAAGAGTATGTAAAAAAGAAGCAAAAAACAAGGAGATAAGTAATCAAAGGCTCTCGAGTCTCGAGCCGTCATCATTTTGTAATAACTAAGAAATTGAAATTTGGTTACCAACAAAATTATGCATTGATCTAATTTTGAATAAAATTAACTATTCCTTCTTATTTTTATTATTTGTCATTCTAGCTTAATTAATTATTTATTAAATAAATGTCGTTTTGGCTATTTTGTACATATTTTTCTATTATTGCTCTCATCTAACTAGTAAATACATTACGTCTTTTCATATTCTCTCCATTTTTTCTCAAAACATTCATCTCTATCCTCATTAACGAGGGTTATTATTGGCAAAAAAAATATTCTTAATTACTGTGCAACTTCCTAAAACAATATTTATTAAAAATAGGAGGTGGTATAATTTAATTGATATTACCTCATATTCTTTTTAAATATTATTTTGGTTTTATTAACTATTATCTAAATAAATGTCGTTTTGAATCTTTTGTATATGTTTTTTCATTATTATCCTCATTTAGCTAATAAATAAACTACGTCTTTTCATATTCACTCTTCATTTTTCCCCAAAACATCATTCTCTATCTTCATTAAAGAGGGTTATTATTGACAAAAAAAATATCCTTAATTACTGTGTAATTTCTTAAAACGACACTTATTATGAATAGGAGTGAGTAGTTGATAAGTTAGTTTATAATTTATAAGTGATTTTCGAACTTATAACTTATTATTTGTAGTAGGAAAGCTAGCTAGCTGATAAGCTAGTTGAAATAAAATTTTCAACAAGATTGTTTGGAAATCTACCCAAAAAAAGTTTATGAGATAAGTTTGAACTTTTTACAAAAGTTCATCCTATCAAACCAAAGTATTTAAGCTTATAAACTAAAATAAGCTATAAGCTAGTTTATTTGACTACCAAACATAGTCTTTATTTAGTTGTAATTAAGTTTAAATTTTGTGATAAATAAAAGAAAGAAACATGCAGTCTAATTCAATTTTACATCAAACCAAAAAATCCAAACAAAATCAAAAATTTCTATAAACAAACATGCTCATTAATTCAATTTTACATCAAACCAAAAAATCCAAACAAAATAAAAAATTTCTATAAACAAACATACTCTTTATCGTTTCTTTGTAGATTGTGTGTGAGCTCGGGTGTGATCCGTCGTTGAGCTCTGTAAGTCTTCATTTGTATATTTCATCGTTTGAAAGAAAATACGATGTACGATTCTATAATATACTTCTAATGATAGTTAGATTTGATTGTTTTCTCTTTGAGTAATCGTTGTGTTGTTTAGAATAAATCTTGGCCACGTAAACAGAAGCGTAGTCTTATTAGGACAAGTGTGAGCCTACATTTAAAAAAAATATTAAAAAAAAAAAACTAACATTAGCCCATATTGTCCAAACTAAAAAATTACTAATTATGAGTCTAATAAATATGCTTAATATAATAAATATTTAACAAAAGAATAGAGTACATAGATTCACCGGATACAGAGAGAATGAAAAAGAGGGGAAAAGAGAGAAAGGGATGGAAGATTCAATGAGTTTGTCAATTTTCGGTTCAACCGTGCAAGAAGACAACTTGCAAAATAATAAAATTCCTTTTTATTTATTTATTTTGGTGGAGGTAAAAATTACTCTTCTTTATTTTTTTATTTTTTTTTGGGTAGTGGTACACATATTCCTTTTATATAGAAATTACAAATTCAAACCATTTTTAGGTGTTTATAGATCTTCAAAGTGTGACATGTCAAAATCGAAAATTCCATTGATTGTAAATTTATAATATTATTTTTGTATATCAGATATGAAGAAGATGATATCTTTTCAGAAAAAAGCTCATCCATCAAGAAAGTGCTTGTGAAAATATCCCTAAGGAGATAATTTGAATCCAAATAGATTTGAGGGAAATTCTAGTATAACTGGGTAGAAAGAACATACTATCAGAAGTTTAATGACCATCGAGAAAAGGAAACCTTTTTGAAAATTGATAATAATATTATAAAGCAATATCATGCCATGAAAACTCGTAAAGAATGACTATAAATGTATTTTTTGTATTTACGCTTTTTGTTATAATATTTTATATATATTTTTCTTAATTAAGCCCTCGCTTATTATGTTTGCTAGATCCACCCTCTAGGTAAAGGCCAATACTATTTTTTTCCTTCCACGTATTATTTGTATACAACTCGAGTATATCATTGAGATTCTAATTTTTTTTTTTAATTTCAAGAATTATGCAATATTTAACTTTACATTTTTAAAGTTTTTAAAAGTTTGAACATATTCATTTGAAATTTTAAAAAGTTTTAAAATTTTGAAGATATTTTTTTTTTCAAATCTATAAAAAAAGTTATGAGTTATTCAATTTATTTCGCTAAAATTGTTTGGACATTTTAAACATAATGAAATGTCAAAAATAACACACACACACACACATACACACACACACACACATATATATATATATATATATATATATATATATACATGTACACGAACCGACCTATAGCCTTACAATTTGCAAGGAGTTTAATAAAATTGACTATTAAAATATTACTTATGAGTTATCCCATATTAATTATACAGGACAAATGAGTTCAGTTTATAAATTTATTGGGCTACTCCTCCATCACCAATTGGTATTTAAATAGAGCCTCAGTAAGGTGGCAGCTAGGCTCGCCCTCTTGTGTGGTTCATCCTTATGGGATCGTACTCCTTCCTCCTACTATATAAATTTAACATGCATGCTATCAGATCTGCAATGATTTTATCTATAACGTGCAATGATTTGATTTACTAGGTCCGCTCAGGGTCTAGGGCTATGAGGGACTCACAAGTGAGAGACATGTTAGAATATTACTTTTGGGTTATCTCACATTGATTTATTGGATAAATGAACCTAGTTTATCACTTGTGAGTTGTCCCACATTAATTTTATAGGACAAATGAGTCTAGTTTAGAAGTCTAGTTGATTACTCTCATCATCAATTGATTTCTTTTGAATGGAATCTCATTAAAGTGGACAATTAAACTCATCTTCTTCAGGTGCGCTTTACCTTTGTACGACCATACATCTTTCTTAGACTATGTAAGCTTAGTATATTTATCAATATAACCATAATTAGAATTTTTAATTAATTTTATTTTTTGTAAGTATATTATATTTCTGTAATATGTTTTGTTAACTATTCTATTAATTTAATCGAACTTTAATAGTTGGATATGAAATCTGCAAGTATTTTGACGGAGTAATTCTCTAACGAAGGCTAGTGGTATGGTTGTTATCCAATCGAACCGAATCGAGCTTAAGGTTTTTGAGTTCGAGTTCGACTAATTTTCAAACAAGTTCTTGTTCGTTCATTTAGTAAACGAACAAAAAATTCGTTCGTGTTCATTCGTTTATTGGTTCGACATGTTCGTTTTCGTTCGTTTATCTAGTCGAACTTGTTCGACGTGTTCGTGTTTGTTAACTTTTTTTTTATTTTAATATCATACAAGTTATTTTATTTAACATTGAATATATATATATATATATTCATATTTATATATTATATTATATATGTATATACTATATATAATATATAAACAGGTCCACCCGAACCACACAACGTTTCCTTGAAAGATTTCAGCCTAACTGGGTCCTCAAGGCCCATCAATCGAATCTCTTTTTTTGCTAAATCCGGGACATATATCTCTTTACTTGTATATTCATGTTTATTCATTATATTATACATGTATATACTATATATAATATATAAAATTATAAAATAATTTTTTTGTTCGTGAACGCTCGATTAGTTCGCGAACCTGTTCGTGTTCGTTCGGTAACTACACGAACATAATTTCATGTTCGAGTTCGGTTTAATTTGCTAAATGAACGAGCTGTTATCAAACGCGAACGAACACTAACGAGCTTTGTTTCCGAACAGCTCGGTTCGGTAACAGTCCTACCTAGCTAGTGGGCCCACTAAAAATTACCTTTCCTTTTAGTACATTCGCTAGAAAAATAGTTCCTTTCTTTTCATTTTCTTGTGTGATTTTGAGTGCTATCAAGCGTGCATTTTGTGCAGCTCCAGGGTCCCTCTTGTCCCCTCATAAATTCTTTAAATTAACCCAGAAAACTAGAGAAACGGCCAAATAAATAAAGCCAGCCTATAAGAGCATTACTATTTAAAACAAGCAATGTTTAAGAATATAATTTCATTGCAAACAAAACCCTGATAATTGAGACGTACTTTTGGTGAAAAAGTTAAAAAGTAACCTCTTTCAGTATTATTTATGTTCTTTATATAGGATTAGTATTAGTATTTATTATTTTGAAATTCTCTTTTGAAGTATTAGGTATTTAAAAAAAAAGTTAAAAAACAGAATTGTGATATTTAACAATATAAATATGTATATTTATTCATGTAATATAACCGGACAATATAAATATGTATATTTACCAGTGAACAATTTTTTCAATTTATTTAGACATGAGTCAATATTCTATAATTGTAGGTAAAGTTCTTAAAACTATTTTGGGAAAAAATCTTTTTCACCCCGGGAAGTGCGAAGGTTATGCGCGAATGACTGCATAACTATCGCATATCAATTGCATAACTGTCGCATATTCATCGCGCAATGACTTCGCACTTTAACTTTTTTCACCCTAGAAAGTGCGAAGTGATATGCGAATGCCTTCGCACTTCTAACTTTCACACAATGTCATCGCGCAACTATCGCATATTCATTCGCACAATGCCTTTGCACTTTAACTTTTTCCACCTCATAAAGTGCAAAAGGATATGCGAATGCCTTCGCACTTCTAACTTTCGCACAATGTCATTTCGCAACTATCGCATATTCATCGCGCAATGTCTTTCGCACTTTCTGGGGTGAAAAACATAATTTTTTATTGGGCGGTGTGAAAAACTTAACAGGACTTCAAAATGGGGATAACTATTTTTTCAACTATTTTCATTTTTTCGTCTTTTTCATCTACACATTTAATAATTATATTTATTTTATTTTTATCATTCGTTGTAGTGTTCATACATATCTACAATCACTTTTTTTTTTTCTTTTGAAAATTTTGATTTTTTTTACATGATTTCAGCAATTTTTCAGTTACAATAATTGTTGAACTCTTAACTTGTATCACAATTTTTCTTCTTGAAATATGCTTTATATAAATAGTTTAACCTATACTGTAATATTTTTTGTATTTTTATTTTAAATCATCTATTAACAAATTTAATACAATACTTTTTTATTTACTAAATTTTTTATTTTGCATTCTGTTTTTCTTTTTTGGCTACTAATATCAAAAGCTGGAATAAAATTATACAACAAAAAATAAATATTACAAACCAAATACTAAATCAATTATTTCGTTAAGAAAAATCTTCAATAATCTCATATTAAACTATATATATATATATATTTAAAATCATAAGTTTTTTTTCGATCATTTTTTCAACTAATTTTGGTAAGAAACTGGTACATTTTTCATTACTCAATTCATTATATTTTTTTATTTCGTAATAACTACTACTAACTAATCATATACTCACACTAAATGATATATCAAATTATATGTATATACAAATTTTATACCAATTTTTTTCAAACATTTATATAAAATTATTATTATCTTTTTTCTTCAACTCATTAAACAATATTTCATTTAAACTAGCTAGTTGATTTGTGTTATGGCATGATCAAACCACTTATAATTTCATACACAATTACTGTAACAATAATTTCAATATTTGGTGGTCTAATTACTGGTTATAATCACTCTATATTCCACAAATTAGATTATTAAAATTAATATTAGTATTAACATGTAAGTTAAATAGTTTATATTAATATCGTTTATTTTTACTAGTAATAAAATTTATAAAATGTGATATACTCAATATCTAACTTAAGATTTATAAATATGACACACACATATATAACTTATAAAATTCTATTTGCATTTACATGCATGCACAAAATCGGATACTAATTTGATACTAAAGAGCATAATGAAGGTATATTTAGAAAAAAATACAAAAATTTGTCTTGATTTTTTAGCGCGCCTTATATTTTAAAAAAAATTGAGAAATTGTTATACATCTTATATTTCAAAATGGAGGGAGTAGCATTTATAATTTTATCTTGTCCGTCTAAAATTTGATTGTTTTAACA